CCCCAAAACCCCAAAACCCCAAAACCCCAAAACCCCAAAACCCCAAAACCCCATTAGTTAAAAGTAAATACTATAAGTTATATAAATTAACCAACCACTTCTTATATATGGAGAATACACTCCTGAATAGGTAAGTTTGTAAATCAGTGTTTGTTGATTGGTTCTCTACCAAAATTCAACCCATAAAAGCCTCTGAGCTCTGCATGGAAAAGCCCATTGCTCCATTCTAAATCTATCCCATTTTTGAGTTTTTGGTTAAGCTTACGTATTTTATAGTAGTAATCAGATTCCAGAAGACGACCAAAGAGGATGGGATTATTCAACAATGCTTTCCAATATGGAAAAGTATGTTAAGACTTCCAGCTCTTACTGTCTCTGAGATGTTCCAAAAGATGCAATGGATATCTTAACCCAGATGAGTTCTGGGATTTATTTCTCAGCTGATATGTGGAATATGCTTCCTGCACTAAATGCTTTTTGGACATCACCGAATCTGATTGAAGACTATTATGGCCAAGTTGGAGTTCCTCTGCAATATTATTCTTATTTTTCTCCCTTCCAAGGGAGTAGTAGGAACGATAAGTATGAATCTAAGTCAGATTCTACTACCAAGGACTTCGGCCCAAGTGACGAAGCACAGCTAGCTTATTCGAAAATAGGTAAGAAATTAATGAATCAAAACTCTTCATTAGATTTGCTAATTCTTATTGGAGTCATGAATTTAAATTTTAACTATCTAATCAAATCTTATTGACATTATTGGTGAAAGGTCGCCTAACTTTGTGTATAGACATCAAGTCACAAGAGGTTAACAACACCAGATCTAAGACAGAGGACCTCGACAACTATATTGAAGAGGTAGTCTACAAATCCAACGATACTAAGAGAAACAGAGTGGTGTACAAATGCAAGTTTGAAGGCTGCTCTAAGAAATGCTCCAAGAGATGGAATTTGATAGACCACATCAAAATGCACTTAGGAGTTAAACCTTATGAGTGCGAACAATGCGGTGCTAGGTTTACCCAGAAGGGAAACCTGAAGAAGCATCTCAAAGTACATCTTGTGCCTAGCTTGAATCAACGCAAGGTACATAAATGCAAGTACTGCTCTAAATCTTACACTGAGCGGTACAATTTGATGCATCATATGCAGACCCATTTGTAAATATCCTATTGGGTCTTGCGCTGTAAGATAGAAACTTTAACATAGATTCTTTACCATAGTTCATTCAACCACTCTCTTACTTCTGGGGTTTTGGGGTTTTGGGGTTTTGGGGTTTTGGGG